AAATGTCACACCTGAACGCTCACATCCTTTTAATTATGTTTGAAATTATGAACATTGCTCAACATCATGAAAATTAAACCTTATTTTCAATAAGCAATCCTGAAAAATATTTGGGGGTGCTTAACTTTTTTCCAGGTGTATATATTAAAAATTAGTTTAAATAATTATCCATTTGATTCATCTTGGTTTTTACCAGTTTTAAAATAAAATTAAACAACATCAAGATATATGGTTTATAACATTATATAAAGCAGGATGTAATTTTGATTTTGTGGGTAAGAAATTACAAGCTCAAATTATAATTATCTAGGTTCTACAAATATTTCTCACATTACCATAATATTAGCTAAAAAAGTTGTAACTAATATTACTAGGGTTTTTGTTTTTTAAATTACACAAGTTAATGCTCCAAAATCAAGTATTTAAGATATACACCTGGAAAAAAGTTAAGCACCCCCAAATATTTTTCAGGATTGCTTATTGAAAATAACGTTTAATTTTCATGATGTTGAGCAATGTTCATAATTTCAAACATAATTAAAAGGATGTGAGCGTTCAGGTGTGACATTTAAATCAGGGGCGTTTTTTCCCCCATCGCCATCACAGGGAGAGGTTGGCCTGGTGCAGAGCAAGGCAGAACTGGAACCTTCAATCCTGGCGACGAATACACTGGTCTGACGAGAGTAGATTTTTACTCCACGTAACCCGTGTTTGGAGGCATCGTAACGCAGCTTACACTCCAAGAAACATTGTTCTAACAGTGCCTTTTGGTGGGGGCTCAGTTATGGTATGGGGCTGTGTCTCGCATGATTGCAAGCTGGATTTGGTAACAATCAATGGCAACCTTACTGGCGAAAAGTACACCAGGGACGTGCTTACACCTGTAGTTGTGCCTCATTTTGACAACCACACGTTAGCGTCAAGACCTTTATTCATGGATGACAACGCTAGACCTCATCGCTCTAGGGCAGTAAAGGCTTATTTAGAGAATGAATCCGTCAACACTCTTCCTTGGCCAGCAAGAAGTCCAGATCTCAACCCTATAGAGCATCTGGGACCAATTGGGTAGGCGAATACAGGCTTTGGAGCCTCCTCCACAGACATTGCAACAGTTAGAAGCTCACTTGCACCGAGAATGGCGACAGATAACGCTTCAACTAAATCAGACGTCTAACTGGCAGTATGCGGCGCAGGGTTGCAGCAGTCATCCAGGCAAACGGTGGATATACCCGATATTGACTTTTCGATGACTAATTATCAATGTGTGGGTCATGATTGACATTTTGTAATGTGATTTGACAATTCAATAACGTTTTTGGGCTTTCACTGACAATACTTATTAAAGATAATTTTAAGTGTGAAAACTGTCCATATTTTGATGATATGTAAATTAAAAATTGTTATTTTACGGTGATAATCTTGTTTTCTTGTGCCCAATAATGCATAATTTCATTTGATTAACACATTTAGATTGAATGGTAATTTATAATCAGTCACAAGAACGTCGAATCTGAATCACTTGAAAAAAACACGAGGGTGCTTAACTTTTTTCCAGGTGTATATATTTGACTCACCTCCACCAGATGGTCCACACAATGCCACCATTTTACCAGCTGGTATATGTATGCTGAAGTTTTCTAACACCAACTGAAATATATTTGACTCACCTCCACCAGATGGTCCACACAATGCCACCATTTTACCAGCTGGTATATGTATGCTGAAGTTTTCTAACACCAACTGAAATATATTTGAAGTGGGAGGTAAAGGCAACAATTATTCTACACAGGTTAACTCAATGTTTGTTTTAGTTTTACATTTCTCATAAGCACAACAAGCAATAAATAAAACAATTTCACCAGAGTAAAGAATTTGATTTAAAAATTTAATCACTCAAATACTTAATGAACGATACTCAGTTCTTTAACATACTACTTCCATTGCAATCTCATAAAGTTTATATAATTTTATTACATTGGAAGCATGGTAATACCAACTCCGTTGCAACTGCTAGAGCATAATTAAATACTTGTAACTTGTAAGGCATACTTTTTACATAATTACATACTTGTAACTTGTAAGGCATACTTTTTACATAATTAAATACTTGTAACTTGTAAGGCATACTTTTTACATAATTAAATACTTGTAACTTGTAAGGCATACTTTTTACATAATTAA